CAAGCCCAACATATTTGTACATGTATATATGATTGCGTTCGTATACACACAAACACACAGAGACATTTATATACTTATATAATTAGGTATCTCCAAGGATTTGCTAAAAATGAGATCACAGGAATGGTTTATCGTTAAAATACATGAAAATTTTATCGTCAAAATCTTTATATTATTATTAAGAGAAAAGACTAAAGGATATTTTGATTATTAAATTATATTTTTTTATCTCTTTTACAACCTTAAAAATTTGGATAATTTTATTTTTCTGGTGTCAGCGGGTGACCATAAATTACTATGGGAAATTTTAAGTGTCTTTTTGCTTTGCAAAACACTATGTTTTGGAAATTCTTGCAAAAATCAGATAATTATCAGATTTTAATGAAACTTCAGGAGTTATTCACAAATGAATTAGCATCCTGGGTACGACAATAAGCTACATCCGACAGAAAGGCCTCTGATCGAGAAGTTTTGAGGAGCATGGAACCACCTCTTAATTGCTGGTGTTCCCAGATCCACCCTGACCCGGAGTGGTAGCACCTGTTAAGGGTCCTAGCTATGGGCAAATAGTTAACCCCCAAACTGGGGTCAAAGCACTATGAAAATGTTAAAATAGGTTTTAATACCAGCAATACTTTTTTGAAAAAAAATATTACCAGCAATACATTTTTTACAAAAATTATCAGCAATACATTTAACATATATATATATATATATATATATATATATATATATATATATATTGCCAGCAATACATATTTGAAAAAAAATACCAGCAATACATTTTTGAAAAAAAATATTACCAGCAATGCATTTTTGGAAAAAAAATTATCAGCAATACATTTAAAAAATATTACAAGCAATAGATTTTTGAAAAAAATATTACCAGCATCTTGTCGGCATTAAATAATCCATTGAGGTTGATATGCCGTAAAAGAAACCAAATCAAACAAATGAATTAAATCATTTTAGAAATATTTCGTTTTTAGAAAATCTTAGTAAAAATATGTTTTTTAAGTCCTCAAGGTATTTAAATCCTTAATTTTTTTTCCTCAAAGAGGACCCCCACTTACAGAAAATATACTCTGAATCGTGAAATGAAAAATACAATAAAACTAAGACATTATTTAATTATCTAATTAAATAATGTTTTAGTTTTATTGCATTTTAGCATTTAAATAATAACAAAAACGGCATTTACTTTACACATGATTTTTTTTCAAAATAAACTTATTTGTCAATGCACTTAATTTACTTGTCAATATTTATCACCTAAATGGAAAAATATACAAAGACCATTACAGCTGAAATTCCGCTAAAATTTCGTTTATATCCTCTTCTTTTCATTTGCATTTGCCCTTCCTCATTGCTGAAGATCGGGAGCAGAGCCACTTGTTACAGTTTTGAATGCAGAGTTGTCCTTCTCTTAGACTGGCTGCCAACCAACGTTAAAGAAACCAACCAGTCTGTGCTACTATTTAACCCATAATTGGGGGACAAAAGATGGATTCATACCTTTCCCAAGTGTATTTGCGCGTAAGGAAATATAATAAACTCGATTGGAATTCAAACTTGAATGTCCAATTTCTCATTCCGAGCCGACGGTATTCATTTTACTACCTACACACATCAGACATTTATTTAGACGTAAGTATTTTGTTGACAATTTTTCACCATAAGTTTTTGGTCGATCAATTCCACGGTCGTTCTCAGGTGTCTAGTCGGTATGGTAAGAGTGTGATAAATTTTCTTTCGTTTTTTCTTATAGAAAAAACTTTAAATAATTATCTAGCTTGGATTTGCTTACAAAAAACGTCAAGTGCTTTAATTTTCCTTTTTTTTTTTTATAACTGGTTTTGGGACTCTACAGTATTTCGGCAGATTCTGAAAGGAATTGGTGTTTCTGTTTTTCAGTGCTAATCAAATCTTTGTCCAGCAAAAAAAAAAAAAATTGTCATATTGTCAAAAATATCCTCAAATATGACTTTCTCTCTGAAAGAGATAAGTAAAAATGGCGTTCTAAGGTCATATAAAATAGTGCAGAAATAACATCGACGCAGAAAGTAAGTTACATCTACAAACGAAACATCCTCTCCTCTTTTATTTCAATATATATATATATATATATATATATATATATATATATATATATATATATATATATGATGGAAACATCTGGGAATTTCAAACACATTGACAGACACACAAGGAAGTATGCCTGTTCGTCTGTATTTATAGATAAATACATATTGAGAAACGTTTAGTCATGTGTATTTTCTTTTTCAGTTATGTATAGCTGAAAAGGTGTGAGTGTGTAAGATAATGATAAGTACACATATTCATGCATGGAGAGAAGTACCTTATTGGCGCTCACACACCCAGACACACACCCACGTTGATTAACACAAAACCAAAATGTAAAGAAATCTTCTGAAAGGCTTTCGATAGCAAATAAAACGTTCTAAACTTTCATTTTTTTTGCCAACATCGCAACTTTTAATTATAAAGATGCGTTTAAAAATTTAGCAGTGCATTTGGTAACAACCAAGCCGAATATCTCTATTGGGGCCCAATGTATGCGCAATCCCACGTGTGTGTGTGTGTGTGTGTGTGTGTGTGTGTGTGTGTGTGTGTGTGTGTGTGTGTGTGTGAACGGAATATATTTTTCTTATGGTAAGATTTTTAAATGGGTCTTTTTCGGCCATCGTTAAAATACTTGAAGAAGAGTGAGGGGAGGATAAGAAGGTGGAGGAAAGGATAATATTAATGAGAAGAAGAGGAAGAAGAAGAAGGAGAAGTAGGAGGAGGACGTGGAGAAGAAGAATAAGAAGGAGGAGGAAGAGGAGGAGGACGAAGAGAGGAAGGAGGAGGAGGACGAAGAGAGGATGAAGAAGGATGAGGACGACGACGAAAAGAGGAAGGAGGGAGACAAAGAGAGGAAGAAGAAGAGGAAGAAGAAGGAGGAGGAGGACAAAGAAGAAGAAGAAGAAGGAGAAGTAGGAGGAGGACGTGAAGAAGAAGAATAAGAAGGAGGAGGAAGGAGGAGGATGACGAAGAGAAGAAGGATGAGGATGACGAAGAGAAGAAGAAGAAGAAGAAGAAGAAGAAGAAGAAGAAGAAGAAGAAGAAGAAGAAGTCGTTAAAAACTCCTAATAAAATAAAAGGGAAACGTTAATAGAAAACAAGAAAATGTTTTCCGAGAGTAAAATGTTTTCCAGGAACTGAAATTTTGGAGTGCAACATTTCGACGACATTTTAAATGCGTGCTGTTTGCAATTTGATAGAAGCAAGGGAATCTCCGAAAAAGCAAAATAAACAAGACTTCAAAAAGATTTGGTGTAAAAGAAAATGTCTAAGATTTCAAAGGAAAACTACTTCTTCAGTCTTGGATGTCATTAATAAATAAGGAAAAAAAAAACAAAAAAAAATGATTCCTTCATCTTTTCATGATATAGAGACCTTGGTAAGAAGAATTATAATCATTTGGGGGTTTGAAACAGTATGGAAATATTTATGTCTGAAGGGTTCCATTCCTTCTAACACACAAGCATGCACAGAGATATAAACACACACACACACACACACACAAACGTTCAGACACTATTGGTGTTTTACACTATTTACATTGTTTGGTCTGTTGTCCTCACATTTATTGTCATGTTCACGAGGACACATGGCCCAGTGGTTAAAAGCGTTGGTTGCATCCTGTGATTTGACCCAAAGTGTTGTGATGAAAAAAAAAAAAGGAAAGTTGAGTTAAAGGGAGATATCTGAGACATCCGGAAGAAACATGGCAACTAGAATTCTTTACCCATGTGAACGAAATAAAGGGTCCAGTTTGAATTTCCAATCACCTGAAGAAGACTGGAGTATACAACAGCCGAAACGTCGTGAACAGGACAATAAAGATGAGGACAACAGTGTAAATAATGTAAATTATTACAATACCTCATCTCCAAAATGTAGACAGATAC